GGCTCTCGCGACCGCGCAAGACTGTATGTCTCGGGGAAGCTGCGCAAGGTGGCCCCGGAGTTGCTTCCCTTCGTAAAGTTGTTGTCTGGCCAGCCGGCCACGTTTTGTTGGTGGGACGCGGGAGGGTGCTGCCGCGACATCCGGCAAGCCGAAGGCTGCGAGCAAGGCGATGCATTAGCCCCGGCGCTGTTCGCGCTGGGACAACACGATGCAACACGATGCTCTCGCCCGCGCGGACGAGGCTGTTCGCCATCACGATAACCTCATCGCCTTTTTTGGCTGACTTGCACGACGTGACCTCCTCAGACCGTGCCCGCACGTCGCTCGACACGACCGTTGAGGAGGCAGCGACGCACTCCGGCACCAAACGTGACCCACAATCACACCAAAACAAAAAGAAAAACCGGAGCACACTGGCCAGACCAAACGGGTTCCTGAGCATCTGCACACGGCACTGGCCACACCAAACGGATTCCAGGGCATGTGCATACAGCACTGCCACAGCAAACGGATTCCAAAGCATCTGTACACTGGGCTGGCCACACCAAACGGATTCCAGAACATCTGTATACTGCACTGGCCACACCAAATGCTTTTCCAGAGCATTTGTATATTGTACTGGCCACACGAAACTGTATACGGCGCTCGGAGCATTTGTATATTGCACTGGCCACACCAAACGGATTCCATAGCATCTGTATACTGCACTGGCCACATCAAACGGCCATACCAAACGGATTTCAGAGCATCTGTATACTGAACTGGCCACACCACATAGCGTCCAATTTAGGCAAGACCAATAGCCTCTGCGCCAGGACCGCCGCCACCGGGCATTGTCGAACTCGGCGACGATGTCTGGCGGGCCGATAAGCCAACTACCGAACGAGTTCTGGTCGCTCTGCGCTCGCTCATTGGCCAGATTTCACCCGCGCATAGGCAAACGAAGACGCATGCACGGAACGGCAACTGCTAGACCACCTGCCGCAGCTGCCTCCAGCGTGTGGTTGCTACTGCACATGTGGGCGTCCCCGCGGGCAAACCACGCCATCCGCACCATGCCTCCATCCCAATCCGCCGCTTACGCCAATGCCCATGACGAGGCTATTTGGCAGACTCTGCATGGGAGGCTGGGTCTCGGAGAAGATGCTGCCCCATGTCTCTGCGAGGAGGATGAAGCCCGCAAGATCTTGATTGAAGAAGGGTGGAGAACTGGCCGCGCGGCTGGTAATTTCAGGCCAGCGTGGCCAGACGACGATGGCCCCACTTCTGCTGCGACGCCACGCGTGTCACCGCTGACCTGCGCAAGTCACCCGCAGCCGCACGAGGATGCAGACCACAGCGCAGCGGCGCCGCAAGCAGACGCCTTACCCCCAAACTCACTCGCGGCGGGCTCCAACGCTTGGTCGCGCTCGTCCGCCTTCGCGCGCAACGTGCGCCGCCTGCTGTTCGCGCTGCGGCCGCTGGAGGCTGGTCCAGACGATGGCAAGGCATCATCTTTGTCGCAGTCCAACCATCCCTAGGTCGCGCATGGCCAGCCTTGCCGCAAGTGGGACCGGGAGCCGGGCCCAGCCTGGACAGGTTGCTGGACCTCGCCGGAGGCGCCGGGATGAGTCGGTTGCCGATGCGGCCGTAGGAGCCTGTAGGCCGTACACCACAGGCGCAAAAAAAAAAAAAAAGTTGCATGTACGTATGCGTGGGGTAGATCAGGATGAGGGTATGGGCGTCTAATTGTGTATGATAGTACACGCCTGAACCATGACTTCCCTCAACGCGAGCATGACCGGCCGGAAATCAGGGAACGTCATTCGACTTCGAGATCCTAATTCTCAGGATATTTCACGATATGCTCGCTGTCTAGGATCAAGGTCGCAGCTTGTTAGCTTCATCGTGACCTGGCGCAGGATGTTTTCGGTGCGTACACGGGACGATGAGTTGCCCAAAGACTTGATTTTGTGTCGATGTTCCTTGCTCAAGGGGCGCCTGACCTCAAGAATCGCGACGGCAAAGCACCAATCCAATGCGCAAAGCAAGCGGGTGAGGATCTGAAAAACATTCAGAAATGGGAAAAAACACATACTGCGTTGCCTGGCGACCTTGCTGTCGGGGGGGGAAGTACCGCTGGACATCCCGCCTCAGAGCGAGCGGCGAGCCCACTTGCCGCTGCGCATGGGCGGCCTCGGCTTGTCGCCGGCCAGGGAGCACAGGCACGCGGCGTATTGGGCCTCCTGGGCAGACACCGTCACCGCGCTGCAGGAGTGCCACCCCGGCACGCTCGCCGCACTCATGCGGCCCCTGCTGGATGTCGCGGCAGCGGGTGTGCCCCCCAGCGTCATGGAGGCAGAGCACGCTGCACAGTGCCTACGCTCGCAGGGGTACAACGCGCCAACGTGGGCAGCGCTGTTGGAGGGCACGGTCCCCCCCAACCTGGAAGACGATGCCGGGCCCTCCGCCCCAACGAGGCGAGGATGGCAGCAAAGTGCCGGAGCTGCTGTGGACAAGCGCGCGCTCGAGATGCTGTTTTCTGACTTGGATAGTGCATCCCGGGCGCTGCTGCTGTCCCAAAGCGGCGAAGGTGCCAGCTGCGCGATCACCGCCATCCCGAGCTGCCCGGACTTCGTCGTCGACAGCGGGGAGTTCCGCACCTTCCTGCTTCGGCGGCTACGACTGGCGTTGCCGCTCGCCCCACGCCGATGCCGCTGCGGCAGAACCCTCGATGAGCTCGGGGACCACCGTTCCGCCTGCGCACAGGTTGGGGTGCTAGCGCATAGGGCGGGGCCACTGGAGCGGGCTGCTGCTCGCATCTGCCGTGAGGCCGGCGCCCGGGTGGCCACCAGCGTCGCTCTCCGGGACCTCAACCTCGACGTGCCGGCGACCGATGGTCGGCGGATCGAGGTGGTGGCCAACGGCCTGCCTTTGTGGCAGGGGGCGCAAATCGCGGTTGACACCACCTTGGTTTGCCCCGTCCGACGCGACGGGCAAGCGCGACCGGGCGCGGATGCGAGGCCGGGTCTCGCCCTGGAGCAGGCTGCCCAGCGCAAGATGCGCACGTACCCTGAGCTTCAGCCGGGCGGACGGGGCCGCTGCCGCCTCGTCGTGTTCGGCCTGGAGGTCGGGGGCCGCTTCAGCAGCGGGACGCTGGCTTTCATTCGCCGCCTCGCACGGGTCCGCAGCCGCGTGCGGGCCCCCTGGGCGCAAATTGCTGCGGCGCGGGCGCTGACACGGCGGTGGACGGCCCTTGCAGGGCTCGCTGCCATGCGGGCCCACGCGCAGTCCCTGCTGGAGCTGCCGGTCAGCACGCGGGACGCCGGTGATGGCGCAGAGATCCCCTTGGGGGACCTGCTCGCTGACCGGCTGTGATGCGGGGGCGAAGGCTGAGAACTGTCACGTGCAGGTGCAAAAAGGTGCGAGAAAAAAAAAAAAAAAAACACATGATCGGAAGCTATCCTGTTCACAGAGCAGAGACGAACTTTACCAAGAAATGCTTGCATTTGCTCGACACGTTTGTGCCGCAACCAGTGCCGAAGAAACCACGGCTTGGTCCATAACCGCTGAGGTATGAAAATGAAGGGATAAGCAAGGTGCCAGGCAAAAAGTCAAAAAACAAGCTGATATACCGTAGAAACCGCGGCGCGGCCGCTGTGTGCAAAGTTGTGCGGGTGCTGGCGCTCACCCCAATTCCATGTCCTGGGATGCTTGTGGCCGCCTGGCGGTTGTGCCACAAGTTCCGGACCAGTTTGCAATCCACGAAATTCGCCGTAGATGAAGGCAGCGTGGCCAGAAAATCACAGATCCATGTGGTGGGCGAAGTGTGACATCACCGAGACATTGCTGCAGGAATTTCTTGAATTTAGTGAAGTTCTCTGTCTGTGAGAGTGTGTTGGGCCGGTGCCATGCTGGCTGCTGGTGTTGCCGTAATGTTTGACTGACTCGTGCTGTTGTTTGTTGGCGGTTCTTCTACGTGCTGACCTTTTGTCTTGCGGCCTGGAAATCTTCTGGTTGTGTGGTCTACACGGGGCTGACTGAGTGTCCAGCAACTCGCCATGTCATGTGCTAGCTGGGCCTGCGCTAGCTGGCCTCAGGTGCCGTTTACTGTCGTCAAGAACGTTTACATGCTAGAGACCCCAAGATAGTCCACCTACCTTTAATGGTCTAGCTTCGTAGTGCGCAGTAGGCAGCGGCTAAGTAGTCAAGGTAACAAAGCACGAATGTGGCAGAGGCCCGGATGCACAAAAGTGACAGTATAACATTGCTTCACCAAGGATACCTCACCAAGACACATACCTCCCCCCCACCAGCGACGCCCATGGCGTGCAGATGGTGCCGATGCTGTCGCATTCCGGACACTTGCTGCGGCGTGGATTTGCACAACCTGTTTGCATACAGTGTCTCGGCATATCCTCGCATCATTGCAAACCCAAGCGCAGGGGCGTCCTTCAGCTGCGAGATTCCAGGGAATGTTCAGGATTGGGTCATTTGCACATGGGTCACATGGGCGTACAAGATCCCAAGCGCTCCGTTTCTGGCCCCGGCGGGGCCCTATGGTTACTCCTTGTGAGACTTGGCAAATGTTAATGTTGCCGCAGGCACCACCAAATACATCGTCATCCGAGATGCCCGACTGGGCCCCGCGCTTGGATGGTTTAAAAGTTTAAGGTTTAGGGTCTGGGGTCTAGGGTCTTTAGGGTCTTTAGGGTCTTTAGGGTCTTTAGGGTCTTTAGGGTCTTTAGGGTCTTTAGGGTCTTTAGGGTCTTTAGGGTCTTTAGGGTCCTTAGGGTCCTTAGGGTCCTTAGGGTTTAGGGTCCTTAGGGTTTAGGGTTTAGGGTTTAGGGTTTAGGGTTTAGGGTTTAGGGTTTAGGGTTTAGGGTTTAGGGTTTAGGGTTTAGGGTTTAGGGTTCAAGGATTAGGGTTTAGGGTTTAGGGTTGCTTGTTGGTCAAGCCGATGCCGTGCGGTTCGTTATGGTTCGTTTCATGGCATGAGAGGCTTGCTGCACTACACGCTGATGTTCTTCATCGTCGTGTACATATTGGTTTACCAGCTCATCGGGAACCTAGGCGGACATTGCGGCATGCACTTGGCCGTGGGATGTTGGTGTGTTAAGTCTTCGTGCTCCACTCATCGCAGGTTACCTCAAGTTCGATGCTGCGCAGAATACAGTGCGGCTGACGCTGCAAGAGCCTACTGCGGGTTGCAACCCGAACGACGTGGGTTGCAAGGTCTCCTTGCGCATGATGCCTCATGCTGCCCATTTATGCATCCTTTGCAATGCACCCTCCTGTGTCGCCAGGACAGCTTTGCACCACTTAGCCACCTCCCATATTGCTGCGCGCAGAATTCAAGCTGCAAAACAAATGACGATGGGTCGTGCTCGCTTCTTGGCGACATTGGCTAGTTGGAGTAGCCGCGATTCGCATTGAGAAACGCCCTGGAAACGCCTATGTCAAATGTGTCATATATTGTATTTACTAAATGCACTACACACACATACATACATATATATATATACACACATACATATACCTACATACACACTGCATATTGTACTATAAAAATAAACGAAAACAAATAGGAAAAAATAAAAAAAAATATATATATATATTTATATGGTGATATATATATATATACATACATATATGTATGGTATATGTTGTCCATGAGCGAGCAACAAGGTGCGATTACCGACCCACTTTCAAGGACTGGTGCCATAGGACTTTGTGACCACACGACGGAGGGGAAAAGGAGTATGGGTTTAGGATTCATGAAGCTACTTTTGGCTTAGGAGCACCAAAAAAACAAAGATAGCAATCCCCACATTGCCCATATAAGGAAGAGCTCGTTTGTTTTTTTTTGGGGGGGGGGGGGGGGGGGGGGGGGGGGAGGCGGGTCCTCAAGCAGATGGTAGCAGAGGGTTTAGGATTTAGGGTCCGCTGCACCTGGGAGTCCAAGTGCTGCTCTGGGGGGGGGGGGGGGGGGGGGGGGGGGGCAAGATGGTGTTGGGATCGTCGAGGGGTTCCGCGGCCACATGCCAAGAAGCTACTTGAAGGTTCATGGGTAGTTAGAAGTAGAGTTATAAGTGGAGGAACTATGGTTTTAACCTTCCGTAGGGTACTTATATCCCCTACTTGTAAGTACCCATTTGTTGTCACAGCAGGCCGCAGCTATGTCACTGCAGCTTGAAGGGCTTAGGGTTTAGGGTTTAGGGTTTAGAAACTCTTGAGCAGCGTGCTCGCGCTTTACCAGCATGTTTTGCATAATCCCAGGTGTTTTCTCCCACACGTGGGTTTTTCATTGCACCCCCTGCCGCCCACAGACGTAGGAGTGGCTTTGTACAGGGGGTCTTCAGAAGATTTCGGCAGTCCCTTGCATCCTAGACCCTTAACCCTAAACCCTAAACCCTAAACCCCAAACCCTAAACCCTGAACCCTAAACCCTAAACCCTAAACCCTAAACCCTAAACCCTAAACCCTAAACCCTTACAGTAACCCTAGAGTCGACACAACCCTAAACCCTACCTTCCCGCCCGGAGGATTACAACTGCACGTGGCTGTCGGGAACTTCGGCGGCCGCGATACGTGAAAGCTCCATCGTCGTCTCGACATTCTTGCACGCCCCGAAGTCGCAGGTTTTAGGGTTTAGGGTTTCGGGTTTAGGGTACGAAAAGGGTTAGTTAGGGCTTGACGTGGTTTATGCTCAGCCCCCTATCCCCAAAACAAGATCGCAGAGAGGAAACTTAGCGTGGGTTCAGAGGTTTAGGGGTCAACAGAGTTTCTCCCCCACCTCTAAACCCTAAAGCCTAAAGTCCAAACCCTAAACCCTAAACCCTCGTTTGCCCAAGGAGTACACCATGACTCTGAACACAAGCTGCTTCACTTCGTACCCATCTGCCGCCCCGAGCTGCGATGAGTTGTACATTGTGCAGGAGAAGGCCACGCCTTCTGGGTGGTTGCCTTGGGGTTCGGAAAGGAAGTCTGTAAATCTGTTTAGGGTTTAGGGTTTAGGGTTACTGTTTAGGGTTTTGGGGTACATTTATCCGAGGTGAATTCGGAGGCACGCAGACAAAGACATACCAGGTTTCAGGGCATGGTGGTTTCGGGTCAGCTTGACTCGACTCAACTTGTTTGCATATTTCCCCCTGTGGCAACCCCAAAACCCCTAAACAACTAAACCCTATACCCCAAAAGCCCTAAACCCTAAACCCTAAACTCTAAACCCTAAACCCTAAACTCTAAACCCTAAACCCTGAACCCTATCAGGCCTAAGAACCGTTGAGCCCTGCTATGCGTGACGTTCCTGAAGCGGCTCCTGGCTGCTGCCGGAGGTTTACAGGGGCCATAGGGGCCCAATAATTTTATTCTGTGTGTTTATTTTTATACATGCGTAAACAAAGACTACAAATAAACAAGTAAATCAATACATATAAAAAAAGATATAAATAAATAAATAAATAAGTGTATATATATATATACACATAAAGATGTATACATATATATGTATATATACGCAGTAGTAAATATTTATATATATACACAGTAATATAAACACATATGCATACATGAACATGTGTTTCATTCTTTCTTCATGTGGGTTTGGGCGGCAGGCATTGTATGCTTTCCACTGTAGGTTTCGGGCGAAGGTTGTTATTGCTCCCCAACACCCGAATCCTGTGAACTGGTTTGTCGTCAGGCGCAGGCCTTCACTGCAGATGTGGAATCCTTCACGCTTCTCATAGCCGCTTGCTCAAACAGTAGCCTGTGTGCGCAGACAGGGGGTCGGAGGTTCATGGTTTAGGGTTTAGGGTTGAAGCTTTAGGGTTTAAGCTTTAGGGCTTAGGGTTTAGGGATGGGTTTCGTTTGAGGTCCAGGGCTTGGAGGCCCATCGTCAAGAGCTGTGCTTTTTGTTGTGGCAGAATTGCATGGTGCAGTAGTGTGGGTGAGCTCATTGATGTGCATTTTTGCTGGCGCTCTACATGGCGTTGCGCCAGAATATGTATACCTCCTACCTAAGCCAGGTCTGAATACCCCGAACGCCTCAATCACTCCCGGAACTGTGCAGTTGCTATGTTACAGCTTCCAAAGTTTGTCAGACATCAGGGAAGTGTCACCCTTCAGTGCGGCTGGTCTGCTTTGTGAAATTCTCAGGTTCGAGGGCACTGGTGGTTTGAGGTTCAGGGTTTATTGAAATTATTCAGGGTTCAGGGCCGGGGAAAGTTTCGACCAAAGTGTCGAAGAGTTTCGGTGTTCAAACTTCTGAATAAGTTCAAGTTAAAGGGGGCTTGAGGATTTAGGGTTTAGGGTTTAGGGTGGTTTCTTCTCTGCTCGTCCAGGATTTTGATGAGTCGTTGTATCATTGTACCTGCGGCGTGGTTCGTCCGGGTTAGGTTTTACTGGGATGTGCAGTCGTACCCTACACCCTACACCTTAAACCCTAAACCCCTAGACCCTGTTGGCTTGTCTGTTTTTCTACTTCCGTCAGAAGTAGGAGATGTGTGGAGTAGTGTTTGAGACTCTGCCCCTAAACCCTTAGCCTAAAGGCAGCGCCTCTTGTTGCGGTCCCGTGCATGCCGGAAAGCGTGCAAAACATGAGGTTTGGCGCATCGCATGCGTGTCTTCTTCTTCCAAAAACGTCAAACATCCTTGGCAGAAACCGCCCCGCCCCCGTACCCCCCTCCCCCCACCCCTATAGCCGCTCCCCCACGCCCCCCGAAGACCCTTAAACGTGCAAAACCCTCGAGGCCGCAATGAGCGGCGATAGCCTAGACCCTAAACCACCCTTGTTTGCTGAACCCCCCCATGAAATCAAGATCATCATTCATTCCTATAAACCCATATATGGAAGAATGTTCTTCATGTTTGTGTTTTTTTTGTTTATTTGGGGGAGGGGGGGGGGCGGCTTCTGAAGCAAGTAGTAGTAACCCTAAACCCCAAACCCCAAACCCCAAACCCTAAACCCTAAACCCTAAACCCTAACCCTAAACCCTAAACCCTAAACCCTAAACCCTAAACCCTAAACCCTAAACCCTATACGGGGGGCAACCGAAGGAGGACAGGGAACAAAACAGTCAACCCCAACAGAAGCCCTTGATCCCCTGGACCAACCAACACCAAACCCAGAAAGACACTTTTCCTCAGGGCGCATTGCCCAAGTTCTTGAGCCAAAAATTTCCGGGTACATTGACCCCTTCAACTCCCATCACCAACTCCTTTCTACAATACCAGTTGCAGCTCCGCACTCCCCCTGTCCTAGCATTTCCTAGGACACATTGGAGGTGCAGTTCTTTGGCCAAAAACCGCCATTTAGGCAGCAGCCAGCTGCTTGAAATGCACATTATGGTTTTACGTCATCCAGGACGAACCTTCAGCTCATTGGCCGAATCCTTTACCGTTGAGGATTTCTTCACCTCGCACTTGAAAAATTCACGTTCCAGCGGCCCGTTCCTCACCAAGGAACTCGGCATTCACCACCCAGCCATCCTTGAGGCAATGCTTACAAAGCGTCTTAGCCCTGGGCTGTGAATATCGCAGAACATCACAGTCACCACTCGCAGGAATAACCACCGCTTTCTTGACCCACAGCCATTTATACAGCCGTCGAAAAAGGCACCATGCCAATTCCCAGAGTGTAATTGCTGCCACCAAATACGCGACAAGGTCTGAATTGTTGATAACCATTTCAATACCTTGAGCCAGAACCATCACCGTAGATGTGTTGGCGACCTTGCACACCCCTTCTTCCGAGCAAAAGAAACCAGCAGTTGACACTTCTTCGCCACCAGTTGCCATCCCTTGCAGAGATGCAGCCACCATCATGACCGCCATTGCAAGCGAGGCCCTCTTCAAGTCAGTCCCTTGTACCAACAGTCGGAGACCCTAAAGTGCCTTTTGCTTTGCAAACACCTGTCCACTCATCAACTTGGTCAACAGGTCAGCGATCATATACTCACCGCGAAGATGCGCTATCACCATATAACCACGGTCCACCAGAGACCTGACACCGGCTGCTCGAATTCTCAGGTGTCTTGTCCTCCAGCTTCCAGCAGGATATTGAATGATCGAGCACGTTGAAACCGAATCTGTATACAGCACTTTTTGCAGCGATTCTTCACCTGTTCCAACCAAAGCGGCAATTATAGGGGTGCACGACTGAATCATCGTTGCTCCCTCTATGGACGCATGTAATTCAGCTTCAGCTGTACTTAAAGCCACCGTTGATTGTCTCTGTGTTGCCCACATCACTGGACAGTCACCCCACACCACCACCGCTCCTGAGTGGCTCTTTTCATTTTCACCTGCTGCAAAGCTGGCATCCGCGTAGGACTCCACCACCTTGACGCCTCGTCCATAACGCAACACCTCATTCCTTTCTTTTTCGCATGTTGCGATTGCTCCGAACGTCAGGCCTAACGTTGGAGTTGCAGCAAGGTATCGAAAAACCTCCTCAGCCTTTTTAACCACAAATCGCGGCCTTCGGGATGTCCACAAAGACAACTGGCTCGTGCAGAACGCCAAATCAGGTCGAGTTTTGATTGCCACCCAGAGGAACTCCCCTACGGCACCTTGAGCCGCTCGCAAGGAAGGAATATCCACCTCCTCTTCTTCACCTGGAGTTTCTTTCATCATTGGCAGGTTACTACCTTTTCCAGTTTCATCAATCTGATACCCTCTTCGGTTCAGCAAATCTCTCACAAAGTCCTCCTGGTTGAGAAAGAAGCTGCCATTTCGATACCAGATTTGGACACCCAAAAACTTCAGGAATCCATCACCACAGCCTGGACCACAGAACTCGGGTTCAGAAGTTTTCCACTCCTTCCTGATCTGTTCCAAGGCCTCCCGGAGCACTGTCATAGTCCCAGCCATCAAAAAATCATCCACGTAAAGACCCATTGTCCCTACCAACTTGCTTGCACCTTCCGGCTTTTCTTGTGCCATAATAAGGAACAGACTTGGGTCTGCATTGGACCTCTGAAAGCTCATTGCTTGTCCATCCTTTGACACCCAAGACATACCTTGAAGACGTTGGTCTCGCCACTCCACCCATGCTGCAGGACTTTCGGCCAAACCGTACAAGGCCTTTCTCACAATCCACCGCTCCTCCTTTGTGCAAAGACCCAATTTCACCGCCGCCCTTGGGGGCTGCACCACCACCAGACGCCCTTCTCTTTGCGCCCTATTCATCGGCGCCGTCAGAAAAGCTTTGGAAATGTCTAAGCCAGCGATGATCCACACCATATATGCTGCGTGCCTCACTTGACACCTGAATGTAGTTGAATCTAAACCTGGAGCGTACAGCGAGTGACGACTGAGTGACCTCGGCCCTTCATATTCTGTAGCTGCCGTTGACGAAATGAAGTTTCCACATGCACAGATACGGGCACGTCGCCTCCCTGTCCCTTGCTTCCGGGTAAACACCACCAGACTGGGAACGTACTCAATCACCGGTGCATTAGGCTCTTCCGCCAATTCGTCCAGCTTTTCTTGAGTTGTTGGTTCCACCACCTCCAACTCTTTTACCAAAGACGTCACCTCGTCCGACAATGATTCCCTCCACTTTTCCAGCTCTTGCATGGCTTCTTGTGTAGGGATTGTTTTTGTTTGCAGGAACTCAACCTCCTCTGCTGCCTCAAGCGCGGTATTTTCTTGCACCATTTGCTGAACTTGAGCTGCTTTGACCAAAAACTTCGAGAGCTGTTCCTCAGCCCTTTTCGCTTTAACCAGCCATTCTCTAGTTTCTGATCCTTTTTCCTCATTCGACTCATTGGCCGATCCATGGAACTCGTCCAAAATGCAACATTCCTGTTCAGCAATTAGGCGCCGAATACTCAAATGCTCCTCTAGAGCCCATTGATGCGCTTCGAACACAGCGTAGTCGACTTCCTCTGCAAGGTCGTCCAGCGAGGTCTCTTTCAACGTCATTTTTAACCACTTCCTTTTTTCACCTTCTTCAGCTTGTGGTTCCGGAAGAGGAAACTTGCATTGGAGAAGATAGCACCTATCCTTGTAGCTCAAACGCTCCATAAAAACAGGTGTGTACCCTGTCAAGGATACCCTGTTCCCTTTCCAAGGCATAGGACCATGCAGCTTTCTCGGAAAGAACGACATGAAGTTCCAGTGGATATCCACCAATTTTCCAGGTAAGACTTTCTTCCCATAGGATTGCTCCACCACTTCAGCTCCTTCCTCTAAAACCTTTTCATCCTCAACCCACAGCTGACCATCTTTATAGTCACCAAAGCCACACACATAATTGCAGCAATGCTTTTCATTGTGACTATCCCTATGCAATGACACCGGAGCATTGCACGAGATCTGAAGAGCAGAAAATTTGGCTTCAGGATTGTGGTGCCTCACGAATGATGCCAAATAACGACATAGCCATGGTCTTCGATGAGTCTCTTTTGTAATACCACACACTCCGCCATGAGTATAGTGGCCCAACACCAGAGCTCGCGTACTTGTACACCAATTGTTGATACCACCTCTTCGATTCACCCTCTTTGGGTATACAATCCCTTCCAAAAGCTCCTCACAGTCCACGTAATCATACATAGACCTTTCATACATTGACTTGGCTTTTTGCTCTTCTTTTTCCAACTGTGTTCCATCCTCAGCAGTCTCACTTTTGCAGACCAAATAAGCATTTTCATGAGGAGAACAGCAAGTCGGCCAATACTCATCACCAGGAACATTGTCCTCAACATCTGCATTTTCTTCCAGCTCCCCCAGACCCTGCAT